CTTAGGTCCAGCTCCTCCAGGCTTCCTGTGAACTCAAGAGTGGAGAAGAAAACCTGCCAAGTGGCATTAGTGACAGGGGTCCACCTGGACCTGAGGGAAAGAAAGGGAAAGGAGGGATGTGAACTGCTTATGCATAGTCTGAAGTGGACAGACACACACTGCACAGTGATAGGAATCTGTGGAGGTTTGAACAAGAATGTTCCCCAAAGCTCACAGATTTGAATTCTTGGTCACTAGGGAGTGGTACTATTCAGAGGTGTGGCCTTGTTGGAGGAAGTGTGTCACTGTGGGTAGGCTTTGGGGTTTCAAGTGCTCAAGCCTGGCCCAGTGTCTCTCTCTTCCTGCTGCCTTCAGATCTGGATGTAGAACTCTCCGGTATTTCTCCAGCACCATGTCTGTCTACATGTACCATGCTTCCTGCCATGATAGTAATGGACTAAACCTCAGAGTGGAAGCCAGCCCCAAGTCAATGTGCTTTCTTTTATGAGTTGCTGAGGTCATGGCATCTCTTTATAGCAACAGAACACTGACTAAGACAGTTTCAATGTGCCATCCTCAGGACAGACGAACCTCTATGCCTTCTCTTCTTCTCCAACATCTTGGTCCTTTATCTGTGCTGTTCCTCATCTACGGTCTTTAGCATAGCATGCTGTGTGCTTGTTTTGTGTTCTGTTTCCATTTCAGTCTAGGTGTTCCTTGAGGGCATGGACAGATGGGTGACATCTTTTTTTTTTCTTTTTTTAATAATACCAGTGCCTAGTACAGGACCTGGCACAGAGGAAGACATTGTTAGTTCAGTCTTATTTTCTTTGACATGTATATACCTGTTTCCTTTTGTTATAGAATTCTAGAGTCACAGTGGCTATAAAGATAAGCTGGAGATGGGAAGTGGAACATTCAGGAGAGGTGGTTGTGGGAGATTCTGTGATGAAATGCTGAGTATGGTCATAAACATGATGACTATGTTGGTTTACATGGACTCCATCTTCTTCCAAGAATAGAAGACCACAGAGAAGTTCCATGGAGAGAACAAAGGGAATGTCTTGGGAGAGAATGTCTGCAGTCTGAGTAGGAGAGAATTCTGGGAGTGTTGGAGTAGACTCTGCCCTGTATAACTCCTGTTTGAGTAATTTCTCGATTTTTACATATTTCTCTATCAAGCTTATTAGTTGCAGGCTTCAGTTACTCAAGGTTTACCCCATACTTCAGCTATTTCTGTTCTCTAGTTCAATACTTCAGTTAACTCTTTGACCTAGTGTGTTCCAATTTGTTACCAAGGTTAATTCATCCTACCACCTGCACAGGGTAGAGAGCCATGCAGAGGTAATTAGACAGCTGCCTGCACACCAAGCTGTGCCTAACTCAGTCCACTTAGTTGCAAAAGCCTGGACCACAGGGGTCCCTGCTACTAGGAAGACTCATGAGGATGACAAGATATTGTAATGTTCTTACTTGTCATCCTGCCTGCAGAAGCCCCTCTTTCTTCCCCACCTCCATTCCCTGGGGACTCCACTTCTTGGTGCTGATCCTAGATCCCTTATCTCTTTCCCACAGACTTCCAAGCCTTTCATTCTAGCATAGCCCCACGTCTTTATGTCAGCAGTGACCCACAGAAATGCTTTCAACAGGGATCCAGTGGCCACACTGGGCTGGGACATAGGTAGACAGCTTTTACTATTCTTCCTGTCCTCCTTGCTAGTCTCTCCAGACTTAAACATGTCTGCTTCTCCCACCCCACCTCCATTCCCTGGGGACTCCACATCTTCTGTGGCCAGTAGCCAGGCAGGAAGTAGAGGTGGGACATCCAGACAGGAAGCAGAGGCAGGTCAATGAGAACAGGAGAATTCTGGGAAGAAGGAAGCTCTTCCCACAGTCCTGGCCCAGCCACAGACCAAGCAAGATGTGACTGCCTTGCTGAAAAAGGTACTAAGCCATGTTGCTAACACAGATAAGAATAATGAGCTAATCTAAGTTGTAAGAGTTAATAAGAAGCCTGAGATACTGGCCCAATCAGTTTATAACTAATGTGGACCTCTGTGTGATTTCTTTGGGACTTAACAACTGTGGGAACTGGACAGGACAGAAACCCCAGTCAACATAGAATAATGGGCTAGTATAAGTTTTAAGAATTAATAAGAAGCCTGAGCTAATGGGCCAATCAGTTTACAACTAATGTAGACCTCTGTATGATTTCTTTGGGATTTAATGATTGCGGGAACTGGGAAGGACAGAAAACTCCAACAACAACCCTTATTAAGACAATAATCAAATAAAAATGAGAGTCATTTCACTGAGTTACCTTCATGCATATACATGTGCACATGTTATATAAATATTTTTTGATTGCATTTATTCTCTTTAACCCATTTCTATCTCTCCTCACCACTTTCCTGTTCTCTAATACTCACTCTACTACATTGAAGTCAATATTTCATTTCTACCGTGAGTTTTTTCCCCTCTGTTGCTCAACTTCTCAACCTCTGAATTCAAAAGTCTAAATTCTAAAGTCTCAAACTTCTAAATTCCAGCAATTTTCTAGCTTTGGCCTTCTGAGTAATGGAATGACAAGCCTATGCTGGCAAGTCCAGCTAGAATGTGGGTTTTATCATGAGAAGCAGCTTGAAAATGTGGAAACAGAAGACTGAAAACAAACCAAAACCCAAATCATTATTCCTCCGAGACTCTTTCCCTTTCTGGTCCAGTTGTGTCAACATTCTCTTTTGCAGTGCCTTGTTTGTGGGTGACCATGGCAGGTGTCATGCCAGAGGGCAATTAGAGTACAGGACTGCTTTTTCTCCCAAGTTGTGAGGTCTTTAGGGTAGCAGTTGTATTTTCTTTCTTTTATTTTGTGATTGGGCCTGTCATAAAATAAATACTTAATGAATATTTTTGGAATGACTCAAGGGGCGACCGATATTGAGTAACCACTGATACTGAGTACTGATCTTGAGTACTCACTATGGAGGCATGGGACCTGGAAAGGGACATCCACCGTGCTGCTAGGATTACAGGGTGGATAGGGACTATTTAGGATGAGTACTAAGGGTCATAGTGCCACATACACACACACACACACACACACACACACACACACACACACACAGAGATGGGGAAGATCTCAGGACCAAGGTCATTGTCATAGGGAAGGAGCATATTTCCTGCTGAAGCTGAATGAGCAGTTTCTCAGGGACAAAACGTGTTAAGAGGGGGGAGTAGAAGCTGTGGGCTCTCTGATGCTGCTGGAGGGTCCAGGCAATGTGAATGTCAGCATAACAATGAGCCTGTGCAGCAGAGAAGATGGGTCCTTACATAGTCAGAGGGGAAGACAGCAGTTCAAGGTCCCATCAACAGTCAGGCACGGAGGGTCATAGATTAATTAGACAGGTGGTCAGATTGGCGGCTAGGTGTCCCTGGAGACTTGTTTTCTATACCCTCTGAGAGTGTTTCTGCTGCTCAGAATGTGTGGCCTCATGCCACACACAGAGAAGGTGGAGGGAAGGGCATGTGTAGATACTCACAGAACCAGCCTGGGGACCCTCAGCGCTTGTCCCTGCCGTCCACCCCCATCCAGCTGAAGTGCCTTCACCTGGTGGCAGAACTTAATGCAGAAAGCGGCCACCATAAGGTCCACATCTGTCTGGATCACTAGGTGCTTCACATCTGCCTGGAATCCTGGATGCGCCATATCTGTCTGGACATGAACCCTTGCTCCTTGATAACTGTGCATTGCCCGTGTCAGGAGCGCCTCATCCTGAATCTCATACAGACAGTGGAGCAATCCAAGCGAATACGAGTGTTGGAGGTGGGCTTCCTCCAGGACCCTCTTCAGTAGCTCCCACCTCCTCTCCAGGGGCAGCCAGCAGGCGACAATGTTCTTCATTTCATCCATTGCCTGGTCACTCAAAAGGCCGCACAGGAAGCGCATGGTGGGCGCCTCAACCAGGTGAAGTCTTCCATAGACTTCTATCAGCTTTTCTACAGCTTTAAAGTTTTCACAGCTGTCCTTTCCCTCTTTGTAACTCAAGACACAGGACATCGCTGCAAAGAACTCCTGGAGACACAGGTGGGCAAAGCTGTAGTTGGTAGAATTAGGCTGCTTCTGAAGGACACCCATGTTCATGAAAGTGGAGATAACAGACCTAGGTACCTTCTGTTTCCTGAGGTCCTTAACACTGAACAGACTCTTTTTTCTGCAGATCCCTTCAGCAGCCAGTGTGCAGAGCCCTCTGAGCCGGGCCCCCAGGGACTGAGCCGGGAGAGCCTGGGAAAGGTATTTCAGGCAGAGGGCTGTGGTGGTCTGTGAGGTCAGTGAGAGGTCTCCCCCAAGCTCCATCTGCTGTTTCAGGCAGGTGCAGACTATCCAGGACACCCAAGGCACCAGACACAGGGTCAAGAGCACTGGGTTTGATTTAACCAAGGTAAAAGCTGTAATTGCTTTTCTTTCCTCTGCAAAGTATGTGTAGAAATATTCCTTCCGTCCAGACTCAGAGAAGCCCAGGACCTCCACCCACCGTGGCTGCTCCAAGGAAGGAATGAGTGTCTTTAGTTCTGTGGTCCGAGCTGTGAGTAGCAAGGAAGCCTTAGGAAGTAAAGATTTCCCCAGCAAACTGCCCAGCAGTGTGTGCATTGGCTGTGACTGGCTCCAGTGCCGATAGAATTTAGGCTTCTGCAAGACCCATGGTGGCTCATCTATGCCATCCAGTATGAAAAGCAGCTTCTTAGAGTGAGTCAGGATCTCCTCTATGAGATCCATGTGGACATTCTCATATTTTGCTATGAGCTCAGCCAGACTCAGTTGCTCACACTGGGCCAGCTCTCTGCAGCTGAAGTAGAAGACATGCCGGAAGCGATCCCTGTAGAGCTGGCCTTGCCCCCATGCTCTCCTCACCTGCCTGGCCAGCGTTGACTTCCCAATGCCAGCAGCCCCCTCTAATATGACTAACCGAGGCTTCTTCTGGCTACCTGGGCTTGGGTCAAATAAGTCTTGGATGGCAATCTGATGTCCTCTGTCTTTAATGTCCTGGTGCTCTCCTTCTCTCACTATGGACCTCTGGCCTCTGGGGCAAGATTTTTGTAATAGTAGCAGCTGTGTGTATATTTGGTGGACACCTTCAGTTTCCCAGGACCGTGTATGGCAAGGGCTCTCTCTTCTCTGGTTCTGGCTTGATTTTATTGCAGTTTCTAAGTAAGCAAGGGAAAGAAAGGACATAAAGTAACGGTGAGTTGTTCGTTCATTCACCCATTCATTTAGCCAACAACCAAATAAATTTAGACATTTTTAAAAATAGGGTGGGGGCATCATTATGTAGCCCTGTCTATCCTAGAACTTGCTATGTAGACCAGGCTGGTCTTGAACTCACCGAGATTGATCTTCCTCTGCCTTTCAAGTGATGGGATTAAATATGTGTGTACCCATACCCAGTATGATTTGGGCATTTTTTTTTTTTTTTAGATTTCACAGTTCAAAGTGTGATGGTTAAGCTTTTTTTTTAAGTTTAATTGACTGTGCTTAAGAAATCTATAAAGCAAAAATGCCTCTAACTGTAAGCCCCACTTGCCCATGGACCTAAGTTCTGTGAATGGAAGATAACAACCCACAGTGATGGCATCACTATAGAACCTTTGTCCAGCAACTGACAAAAGCAGAGGCAGAGACCCGCAGCAGAGCACTGGGCTGAGCTCCCAAAGTCCAGTTGAAGAGTGGAAGGAGTGAGAATATGAGCAAAGAGGTCAAGACCACAATGGGGACACCCACTGAGACAGTGTGTCTGAGCTAATGGGAGCTCACCAACTCCAGCCGGATAGGGAAGGACCCAGCACAGGACCAAACTAGATACTCTGAATGTGGGTGACAGTTGTATGACTGGGGCAGACTGCAGGACCACTGGCACAGGCACCAGGATTTATCCCTACTGCTTGTACTGATTTTTTGGAACCCATTCTCTCTGGATGGATACCTTGCTCAATCTAGATATAGTAGGGAGGGCCTTGGTCCTTCCTCAAAGCAATGTGCCTTTCCCTCTTGAGGAGTGGATAGGGAGTGTGGGGGGGGGGATGTGGAGAAGGGAAGGGAGTGGGAAATGGGATTGCTATGTAAAATGAAAAAAAGATTGTTTTCAAAAAATAAGCCATGTGTTTTCACTTCTGTATACAATTATGGTTGCCTCACCCTAACCCTAACCCTAATCCTAACTGATGAGCTTGATCACACATAGGTGGGTGGAATGCAGGCAGGAAGTACATCAGGATGTATCCTTGCCCCTGATTGGATGAAGGTAGGAAATATGTAGCCTTACAGGTGTTGCCTTTCTAAGTTTATTTTCTGTTTTTTTTTTTTAAAGAGTTTGTTTATTTATTATGTATACAACATTCTGCCTCCATGTATGCCCACATGCCAGAAGAGGGTGCCAGATCTCATTACAGATGGTTGTGAGCCACCATGTGGGTGCTGGGAATTGAACTCAGGACCTCTTAACCACTGAGCCATCTCTCCAGCCCCCCTCCTTTCTCAGTTTCTAACTAATGTATTTCACTGTCATTCTTTGAGAGTCCCAGGTATAAACCTGACCAGTATCCATTGTCCTGGTCAATATTTGATAAAGCTTGCTTCAAATTTGGCTCAAATACTGTGGTAGTGGTCTTATTCTCTCCCGGTGGCTTTAACGAAAGGACAGAGATGAGAGACAGTGGTGCACTACTGACTTGTTCCACATCACACAGGAAGTGGTAACACCCGAGGGCAATGGAATGTGATCTTGGGTCAACCATTGCCAGAACTGGGTGTGTGTTGGGGTAAGAACGGGTCCTGAAGGGAAAGAGAAAGAGAGGGAGAGGGCTGGACTTCTACCAGCAATAGCGCGTTGGGGGAAGAAATCACTTTCCCACGCAGGATTGTTCTAGATCCCAGCCTTGGCTTTGCTGACGAGAGCTCTTGAGTTTGGACCAGTGACCTTGTCTCTCTAGCCCTTCTGCTCTGGGCACAGGCGACTGCTTTGATGAGGGGAGAGGAGGAAGAGGCAAGGGTGTGGACTGTGCCGAGAAGAAGAAGAAGCATGGGTGAGGCTAAATGCTGCATTGAAATAAGGAAGAAGCAAGGGTTTGGGTTGAGGTTAATGAGACTAAAACAAACCCATCTGACAAGAGCAATTTCAGCACCACAGATCCCAGAAAGATCATTTCTACCTTGTTCCTCCCATGTCTGAATTCTGGATGCTTCTTTTGCAGCCCCCCCCCCAGGCTCCCATAGTGGGAGAAGTTCTGCTGTCTCACAGAGCCACGCAGGGCTCTTAGCCCAGCTCACCTCTCATTCTGCACCTGGACTTGGTACCTTTCTTTACAAAAGTTTTCTTTGTGGACATCTGGTCAGATGAAGATTGGTAGTCTGGCCTCAACTCTGCAGAAACGAGCTGGCTGGAGGATTCCACGTTAGATGTGCTCGGGACACAGAGGAATGAGGGAGCATGGGCTGTGGGAATGAGAGAGTGGTTGGGTGTTTGTCAGGAAGAGGCAGGAGTCCAGGAGAGACACTGAAGTTTTTCATGCTAAACCTCCATACGCCCTTTCTCAGACTCTGTGGAACAATGCTCTCACTGGTGTTGCAGGGATACGGTCCTAATCTGGGTCCATGAAGTTCATGCACCCGCCCTGGTTCTGCCTTCTCTAGGTGAATCACTGGTCCTCTCTGATCTTTAATGCCTTCATTTGTAGCTATGGTTTTATGCCTTTCGGGGTTGCAAACAATAATTAAGCAATAGCAGCAATCAAAGGCACTTGTACATACTGATCATTTATTGCTTGTTAAACTCTGTTTGATGTGGATCATCATTTAGCTCAGAGATCTCAGGAAGGCAGGTATTTGCTCTCCTCTTTTCCACATGGAGACACAGAGGCAGAAGGCAGTGAAATGACTTACCCAGGGTAGTGATGCCATGACCGGCACCTGTCTTTGTCTAGTTCCCAAGTCACTAGCAAATAGCTATGGTACACAAGTGTTCCTCTTAGGAACTGGCTTCACCTCCATCTTCACCCCTCTCAGTGCCCTTCTGAACGCCAGCTTCTCCACACTGCTGCTCCAGAGTGCCCCTTCCCAGTGCCCGTTAAGACTACATGGGGTCCTGAGAATGTATTTGAGTAGAAGGAGGTGTGGAGCTCATGGGTTCACTAAGAGATTCCAGCAAGACTTCTAGTTCCAGCCAAGGATGGAGTCTGTGAGCTCTTTTGACGGGAGGTTATCTTGCCCCTACTGAGACTTGACAGGAGGGCTGGTGATGGCGATAGTGATAGGGTTAGTGACAGGGATTGTAATAGTGATAGGGTTAGTGACAGGGATTGTAATAGTAATAGGGTTAGTAACAGGGATTGTAATAGTGATAGGGTTAGTGACAGGGATTGTAATAGTGATAGGGTTAGTGACAGGGATTGTAATAGTGATAGGGTTAGTGAGGGGAAGGTTGGGGTTGTTGGTGTACTCACTCACTGTCAGGTCCTTCCCTTGCTGGGCCTGGCTGAAAAGTTGCGTCATGCCCATCTTTTCCCAGGTGTGGAGGGCCATGTTCCAGGCCTGGTGATTCCCATACTTAGCCACCAGGCCTGAGGCTACCTCTATGCCACTGGCCTCTGGCCAAGCCGTTTCTGTTAGCAGCTGATGCTGGAACGTTTTCAGCTCTTCTTTACTCAGTTGCTCCAAGTAGTAGCTTAAGCGTTGCCGGGTTCTGTCAGACATGTCTGTCCTGGGAATGGGACACAAGGACAGTGGTCTCCCAGTGCCTTGGCCTTTACCACCTGCAAGGGAAGGCTCTCACTGGGGTGATGTTTCCGGGCCCGGTGAACTCTATTCAGCAGTCAGACCCCAGGTTTAAAAGTCTAAATTATCTGTGTTTAGATGGTGTTGGGAGGTAGGAAGGGAAAAGGAGTGGCAGGAAGTTATAGGAAGAAGAAGACACGAGGATGCACTGCAGATCTGATCATGAGGATGGAGGGAAGGGCCCAGGTCTAGTCAGGTAGAGTGGCAGGTGGCAGCGAGGAGGAGGATGGGGCCTGGGAGGAGGGAGGAGCTGAAAGATGTAAGGATAGAAGGAAAAGGAGATGAGAGGGTGAGGGAATCAGAGGAGTGAAGGATGGGTGGTGGGATATTGACAGGTGGAGGAACGGGAGGATACGGACCTGAGGATGGACAGCCTGGAGGATTAGCGAATGGAAGAATGAAGGTAGAAAAGGATGGGGGAGGGTGGAAGAATGAGGGTTTATAAAGTTATAGGATAGCAGGAAGAGTGGATATGATGGCAGAGAGTTGGAGGAATGGCATGCGGGTGACACCCACTGTTTTGTGGTTCCCACCTTTTTCTTTTTCCTGGGACCCACACTAATGAGGTCAGTCTTTCAGCTACAGCCTTGACAGAAGGTGAGGTGGTGAGGGACAGCCACAGTGGCACTCAGAGGTCACGGGTGAGTCCAGGCTAGCCCCTTTGAAGTTCTCTTTAGAAACCTCCTGGTCCAGGATGTCACTCGGAGATAATAATCCAGAGTCAGCTTTCTGGCAGGAAGGACAATTCACCCAGGGGAAAATGAAAGAGCAGAGAAGACAGGCCAGGGGAGGATCCTGGATAGGCTGTGGGCTGTGGCAGATGCAGGCACATGGGGCATAAGGGAGCACCCAGTAGCCTACCACCCACTTGAGCTGGCCTTCGGAGTCCACATAGGGTGGGGCCCAACCCTGGTTCTCAGGATGGCGCCTCCTGTCTGCCACAGCACCCACCTAGTAAAGTCTGGCCAGGGAATATCTTTCTTCACCTCTCTTGGTTTGGAGCCTCACAACTCACCTTGCTCTTCTGTGGTGCCCCACTGCTGTGTGTCCCAGGGTAGGGCAGCTGTGTGGATTGCAGGGACCTCAGTAAACACATCCCTCTAAAGTGAAAGTGACCCCGTTTCCTGGCCACAAAGCCAGACATCAGGAGGCTGCGCAGATGATCTCTGTCTTTTGGCAGATTCTCAGATCTCTGGGCTTTCAGGCTGAGAATGACATCGCTTAACTTGTTTTCTCTCATGGAATGCCACTAGAAATTTCTAGAGTTCTGATGAGCCCTGGGTTGGAGGATCCAGCTCAGGAGGTTTATCCAGGCTTGCTAAGTCTCCAACTCCCTGAGTTTAGAATTCACTTCTCAGAGCTGCAGTTTGCCCATTTAATATGCGGGATGTCAGGGTTTGCAGAGCAGTGTCTGATTACTCTAGATCCTCCCCACCCTCCTCTTTCTCTCTCTGCCCTCTAATGCCTCACGCACTGGTTATTCATTTCAGCAAATAGCTCTTGCGGCCTCAAACACTGAGTCTCTTCTCTCTTCTAACAATTTTATTTTTATTCTATTTGTCTGTGTGTGAGTCTGTGAGTCTGCTCTGTGTGTGGGTGCATTTGAGAGCTGGAAGAGGGTGTAGGGTTCTCCTGGAGCTGGAGTTATAGGTGGCAGCTAGCCACCTGATGTGGGTGCTATGCTATGCTGTGATGTGAACTCAGGTCCTCTGGAAGAGCAGCAAGTGCCCTTAACTTCAGAATGATCTCTCTAGTCCCACTGGGCTTCCCCCCCCCATGAACTTTCCAAGTTCCAAGTCTTTATTTCCCTCTGATACCATCCTTTTTCAGGTGTGTGGTGAGTGCTTGCTTGCATGAGTGTGGGCTCATTGGTTTAGTAGGGCTACAGTCTTTGCTTGCTCTCTAGTTCATTTACTGAGGCAGAGTCTTGCCCTCTGCCTCAGTAAATGAGTTTATGGATTTGGCTAGTCTAACTAGTTAGTCATCCAGCGTGGGTACGCCCTGTTCCCTCTTCCTGAGCTCTGGGATCATAAGCCTGTAGCCACGCCCAGCAGGCATCTGTGAGGATGCAGTGGATCAGAGCACAGGTCCTCATGCTTGCATAGCTACTGCTTTACCCACTGAGCCATTGCTGCAGCCCTGACACTGGCTTGTAAACAGATCTGTAATCTGTTCCTCCTCACTGTGCCCAAGGAGACTGCTGGTCCAGCCAGCATCTTGTATCTCTTCCCCTGCTTCCTAACTTTCCATGCTGATGTTTTTGGTCTCTCAGTCTTGAATCCAGAGTTACATATCTAACATCTAAGTTAGTTTAAGTCACCTCTTAGCTCAAGCCTTCCTATTCTTTTCATCTCACTCTGGGTGAAATACTGGTTCCTTTCCTTGGGTCACAAGGCTCTACTTGACCTACTCCATCCTACCCTGTCCCTTTCTGACACTGTGTCCCTGTTCATGCTCCTCACTCACTCTGCTGTGGGCTGTCTGCTCTGCCTTCGTATTCTTTGAACACACCAGGAACTTGCTCACCCCAGGACCTTTGCACTGGCTTCTCTATTCTTTTTGAATGACTTCCCACTGGTCAGAAACTTACTACCTGCTCTCTGAAGCAACACTTCCCTTCTAGAATTTTTCCTTATCATTTTCCTTTTTGACATTGTTATCACCTAACAGCACAGACTTTCTTTTTCTCTTCTCCTCTTCTCCTTCTTCTTCTTTCTTGGTTTTCTGAGACAGAGTTTCACTGTATAATCCTGGCTGTTCTGAAACTCTCTCTATAGACCAGGCTGGTTTTGAACTCTCAGAGATCTATCTGTCTCCTGTGTGCTGGGATTAAAGGTATGTGCCACCACCACTGGCAAGCAAAAACTTTCTTTCTGTCTCTTCTATCTACAGAATGGAAATTCTTAGAGGGAGGACTTAGCTTGTCTGTCGATTGATATAACTTCTGGGTCCAAGTTCGTGCTTGACCTTCTATATCAGTAAAGAAATACAGTCTGAGATGTGGTGTTCTTTTTTTTAAATATTAACATTTATTTATTTGTGTGTATGGTGATTGGTGTGACATATGTATATGCACATGCCATGAATCACATGTGCTAGTCTTAGGAAACCATTCAGGAGTCAGTTCTTGCCTTCCACCATGTACAACCCTGTGATCCAATTCCAGACATAAGACTTGATGGCAGCTGCCTGCTGTGTGAATCTCTTCCTAGGAAAACATGATTGATACAGGAAGGCCACACCCATCTAGGGGTGTTACCCCTTGGCAGGTGGTTCTGGGCTGTATAAGAAAGGAGGCTGAGCAAACAAGCCCTGGAGAGCAAGCCAGTGAGCAGCACTCCCCCACGGCCTCTGCTGCAACACTCCCCCGTGGCCCTTGATTCCTGCCCTGCCTCCTCATGAAGGACGGGAAGCTGTGAAGTGAAATCAGCCTTTCCTCTTCAAGCCGCTTGGGGTCAGCTGTGATTCTTATCACAACAACGGAAAGTAAACGGAGAGACACCTGTGTTTTAACAAGTTTCCCTCCAAGATGCTTTCATCTCAGACATAATTGCTCTATACCCGTGCCTTCACCTGCTGAGCCATCTTGTTGGAGCCCCGAGAGATTCGTTTTATTCTTTCCTACCCTTGATTTTATTTTTTTCCTCCAAACTTTTTCTTATACAATATGTTTTGATCATTCAAACCACTATAACTCCCACCAATAATGAATAAGAATTCCTCTTTCTCCATATCCTCCGCATTATTTGTCTTTTGTGGTTGTTCTATAAATATCCATTCTGGCTGTGGGGAGATGCCTCGCTTGTTGAGTGAGACCGGCCCCCATATATTTGGGTGTTTGGGCCCCTGTTAGTACAGCTGTTTGGAGAGGATTTGAAGTGTGTCCTTGATGGAGGAGGTGTGTCACTGGGGGCAGGCTCTGAGAATTAAAAAGCCCACACAGTTCCCAGTGTCTGTAGTTTTCTCTCTCTCTGCATGCTGCTTGTGAATCAGGATGTCAGCTCTCAGCTACTGCCCTTGTACCATGCCTGCCTGCTGCTGCCATGATGGTCATGGACTCCAATTGTAACTCTCAAATTATTATTTTTTTATCATGTTTACATAATTCTTTATTGACTCTTTGGAAATTTCACATCATGCACCCCAATCCCACTCACCTCCCAGTCCCTCTATAACTACTTTACACCTGAGTAGCTTGCCCCTCAAAATTAATTAAAAACAAAACAAAACAAATCTGGGCTGCTCTGCCATCTTTTCAACACCTCTTCATGTATCTGAGCGGCATAGGAAGCTCCAGTGTGTCACTCCGTATATCCTTCTGTCCAACCATCCCCACCAGCAGAACATCATTGCAATGAGTCCTCGGTCTGGTTCAAGGCCTCTTCCACACCATCATCACTGGGGGCATTGAAGCACTCTCGGAAATCCCACTGTTACCCTGAGTCATGGAGATCATGCTACTCCACAGGACCAGACCTTTAGCACTCTCCATTCGGTCCCTGATGGGGCAGTTGTTAGTGTGGGGCAACCCAAGGCCCAGGATGTGGGTCTGGGTAGTAGCTGAGCTGGTTGGTCTGGGCCACTGGGTTCACCCTCTTAGGTAAGGGGCAGAGCCAGCTCTCCTAAGCCCTTGTCATCAGGGCCAGCTCTCCCATGCCTGTGGTGAGGTTTGTGGTCATCTCTCCTGAGTGTTTCTGTTTAGGGGTTGGTCAGCACCCCTGCTTCAGTGTACAGCAAGGGGGCAGGAGCAGCTATCCTGGCTCAGCACTGCCCTTTGATTTCAACACACATGGTTCCTATGACCCCCTTTGGTAACTTGAGTCATGGACATCAGCCTGGACCCTGGCTGCTGTTGGATCATGAACCCAGACATGGCCCACAGCGGTAGCCCAAGCCTGAATGATACCGTGGCCTGGTGAAGCTTGTGGGCCAAACAGACTTGCATAGTCCTGGTTGCAGCATGGCCCTTTGATACCGACATGCCCGCAGGATGCCACCTAGACCATAGGCATCTGTGTGGCCACAGGGGCATCATGGGCCATAGACATCAGGGACCCCCAACTGTGATAGGACCATGGACCCAGTCATGGTCCCTAATAGCAGTCTGGGTTCTGACATCACCATGGCCACAGGTGGCAGCACAGTCCACTCAGATCGGCTTGGCCCCTGCAGCAGAGTAGCTCTTGGACACCAACAGGTGACTGCCCAGACCCTTGGCATCAACATGGCCTTCGACGGTATCAGGAGCCATGGGCATCAACTCTGGCTACAGTAGGGCCCTGAACCTAGACATGGCCCTTGGCAGCAGCCATTGCCCTAGTGGCAGCATGGTCTCAGACACCAACGTGGCCACAGGATATAGCCTAGACTCCTGATATCTGTGTGACCTTTGGTGGCACCACAGGCCAGGGATATCACAGACCCCAACTATGTTAGGACTGCAGATCCAGAAGCGGCCCTCAGCTGCAGCCTGGGCCTGGATGTCACCATGTCACCTCATGGCATTGAAGGCCACTCAGATTTCTATGTGACCCTGGCAGGAGCATGATCCTCAGATCTCCACCTGGCCTCAGGTATTGGCCCAGACCCTGGTTATTGCATGGCCTTTATTGGTAGCAGGAGCCATCAACCCAGTCCCTGGCTGCAGTAGAGCCAAGGACACACCTGGGCTCAATGTCACCATGACCCTGGTGGCACCACAGGCCATTCAGATTGGCATGACCCCAGTGGCTGTGTGACTTTTAGACACTAACATGAGTGAGTCCCATATTATAACCTTTTAATTTCAAATGGTCCCATTTGTTAATTTGTCCCATTTTCTTAATGACAGAGAGGCCTTTCCTGTGCTTGCATCGGGAAGTGTTTCCCCCTCTTTCCCTCTTGTAGATCCAGGGTTTTGAGTCTTGTGTTGATGTCTTTGGTGCATTTGGAGTTGAGAGCTCTGCAGGGTGAGAGGAGAGGATCGTTCTTCTACCTGCAGGCGTCCAGTTTATCAGCACCACTTGTTAGCGAGGCTTTCTCTTTGCCAGTGGATAAGTATTGTCACCAGTGAGTGTTTTAGCTTGTCATTTTACTGTAAAACAACCCCCCTATTTTATCATCTAAACCGTTTTCCACCCGAAGATTCTTAGTCAATAGATTGTTTGGAGCTAGAACATATTTGATATGTTATTCAAGAAATACATGAAAAGAATTTCAAGCTGTGTTACTGCTGGATAAAAACACTGCAAGAATAGGTGATTAATTTATCTTAAAACTTCATGGTTGGATTTATAAATCTTAGTCTGTTTTAATAAGGTGTGGTCCCAGAAGTCTGAAAACCATACACTTGCTACATATACTTTGTAGCATCATTATAACTTGGATAGTTTAGATGAGACAAGAAAAGAAACAAGAAGTAAAATTAAATTTCCTGATTTTAAATAATCAAACAGTGTTTTAGCAACAAGTGATTATATACATTTTTATACATAGTTTGTATCTACATCTTGTGTGTAGTTTCTTCTCTGTATCCTCAAATATTTATTGACCAATCTTGTGTCTTTTCTGGGGATATGTAAAACTAATATCTACATTTATCCTCTGACTTTTGACTCATTAAGCTCATTTTAATGAATAGAAATGAATCTATTAATGATTATTCATAGAGCAATGCATGACCCCAGACGTTTGCAGGGACGCCCTTATCTGAAGTTGCCCCCGCCCTCTCTCACCAATCTCATAAATCCTTTGACTTTGTATGTCTTTGAATTGAAAGAAACTTTGCTTCCTAGCGCCATCTAGTGTGAAAGCAGCAGAGTTGATCCAGGCTCAGAGGGTAGTCAGTTCTTGCCCTTATCAGAGGTTCTGGGGTTTGAACAAACACTGCCCATCTTGGGAAGATTCGCTTGTATCGCTGCAGTCAAACATGTCAGATTAGCCTCATTCAGGCTTGCTGCAAGATGGATAGGACAAGGACCCACAGGTCTGTGCCATTCACCAGCTGGCACACAGTCCAGACCCCTCACAGTGGTCACATCTGGAAAGAAGCACTACATGCTTGTTTTAAGCAAAACATTCTTCCTGATTGGCCACAGCGGCTAACAGGACCACAAACCTGTCTCAGCCCCTGCCGCTAGAGCTTTAAGACAAGAGTATAGGATTAAGAATTGACTCTGTCGTGAGGAGCGATAAAGAAATTGTTGGTACAGTTTTAGGATTTGGTGATCTTGTCAATATGGTGTGTCACAGTTAGAAATTACACCAGAAGCAAAAAGGATACAAACTTAAGCTAGATTTTACTAAATGGAAACAATATAACATTGCTGGTTCCTGTAGAACAAGGGACTGAAGTAACAATGTATTTTCTTGAGTTATATTAGATTCTGGCTCCCCAACACACTTCACTAGGAGTTTGTTTTCTTCCTGGCAAAACTGGCCTTCAAGCAAGGAATTGACCATGCATCGACCACTGACAAAATGTATGATATCCAGACAGGACAAGCAGGATACAAGAAAAAGACTGTCAAATCCTGCCAAGATAGGGTAAGATGGTTTTGAAAAATTTTTCTGCCTCTGAAAATGGTCTGTCAGTTACTCTAGGCCTTAGCCAAAGTTGGTTGCTCCAATGTTGCAAATGAAACTTCTGGTGATTGCCCAGGTAGCCAGTTGTCTCTGTCATTTGTTGCACATTTTGGAAGTTACTTGATTGCACTTCCTGCTTACTCAAGTAATATTATTTCCCATCTCAGGTCTTTGATGGAGTTGAAGAATATATAGTTACAGTTTTCCTTAGTTATGATAAAAGATAAAATAGATATAAATAAATATTGTAACTGTAATCTTACTTGATACCTGTTTTGTTATATGTAATTTTACCATATTAAAGTTAAAACCTTTCTTTTTAAGCAGAAAAGGGGAGGTGATGTGGGATTCCCTTCTGTATGCTGTCACACAATTGGTTAATAAAGAAACTGTCTTGTGCCTGCACAGATCATAATAGAAGTAGGAGGGGAAAACTAAACTGAATGCTGGGAGAAAGAAGGTGGAGTGAATGGGAAGCCATGGAGCTTCCACTAGAGAAAGACATACTTAAACTTTGCCTGTAAGTCGTGGCCTTGTGGCGATACACAGATTAATGGAGATAGTTCAGGATATGAGAGGTAGCCAGAAATATGCTTAAGTTATTGGCCAAACAGTATTTCAAGTAATATAGTTTCTGTGTGGTTATTTCGGGTCTGAGCAACCAGGAACAAACAAGCGCCCTCCTATAACACTCCCTGCTACCTCCCACCCCTGGACTTTTAATGTTTATATTGTACAAAACAGAGTTTTTGCTGAAGGGAAATACTTTGAAGACATATGCCCATTTTTCTGTGCTAATCATGATTATTTTGTAATAAGGTTTTTTTATAGACTAAAAAATAAAGATGTTTTGGTAAAAAACAAAACAAAACAAAAACCCTGTAAAACTTTTGAGGTATCTAGAGCCAAAGACTTTGGTTTTAAGTTTTGTAATATTTCTCCCAATGGATACAAGATGTTAAGTAAAAAAAAAAGCCTACAATATGAGGAAGGACTATGCAGGAAAATACAGCCACTCCCTCACTCCCCCACACTCGCAGCAAAGAAGCAGGTTCCCTCAGCCCTCTGTTATGACTACTGATGTCAGATCACACTGATAAGCACCGTTTTTTTTTATTGATGGATAAGCCACCGATGGTAACTTGACAGAAAACATTCACTAACCTGTATTACAGGGGAAAAAATCTGCTCCCCCAGCAGACAGCTACTTAAGTAGATAGCTGACATTTTACAGCCTAATGTCATATGAATTTCCCTTATGCAACCTACTGACTTTAGGACATTTAAAAACAATCAGCCCGTAGTTATCTTTAACTTTAATTTTCAGAAGTTTCCTGTTACAATTATGCTTATTATCAATAACACAAAAGGTGTAAACTTGTCAATAAACTCCTTGTTTTCATTGTGTAAAGCATAACTCTCCCAAGTCACTGGCTCTTGTTGGATGAAAGTGTACTTTAAAGTCTCCATTTCCAAATTCTATTGTCTTTTTAGGACTTATTAAAGATCTGAAACTTAGGGCAGATTCAGGAGTCTCTTGGTGACACCACACTGTGCGTACTAAACTGACAATAGCTACGCAGGCTGCACAGATCACATCTTGAAATGCCAAGCACGGAAAAGACATCGTAACATTTCTTGGAAAATTAATACCAAGATAGTCTATTCTCTAAGCACTGTCCTTGCAAATGTGCCATTATATGAGTGATGCAACAAAACCCGTGTCCACTGTCCAGATTGCTTGTACTTTGCACCTGCAGAGTCCAGACGAGAAGATGCGAGGCATTGGGAAGTGAGGCTAACAGTTCTGGCCATGGGCTGGGCAGGTAGGGAGCAGAGGCTTGATCTAGAGGGAAACCTGGTGGCCTGGGGAAAGAGACTGGCAGGGATACCCTCGGGACAGTACACAGCATTGCAAGCCTCAAGTGCCATTGCGGCAGGTGGGTGAGCAATACAGAGGAATCCCACCTTTTTGTTCATTCGTTTTAAAAATTAAGAAATTATTTGTGTATTTGAATGTGCACTTGTGTGTCAGTGCTAATGGAGTCCAAAATAGTCTGTTGGATTCCATGGAGTTGGATTCACACGTGTGAGCTGCCTGATTATGGTGCAGGGAGCAGTGCTCTGATCCTTGATGCAAGAGCACCAAGAGCTCTGGCTTTTTGTCTGCAAGATCCTTAGATCCCTTCAAGAGACCCTGCTCCTGTGCTGAGGGGATTGGAGAGGTGAGTAAGTGGCCACATGGCCGGACAGCCTGAAATGCCACTTTCTCCACCAGTCCCGGGGGGACTGAATCCATGCCCCCTCTAATTCCCTAAGCTTTTCTGGGTCCACAAAGATCTGTCCTGGAAACAGTGGCGTCAGAAAGGCAACTCAGGTGGCCACTGGTTTATAAACAGAGAAATCGAGGGCCAAAAGAAGGTCAGGCAGAGCCAGGACTCAAAGGAGAGTGCTCACCCCTCAGAGATCCCTCCTGACTTCTCAAAGAGGTCCATGATCAGGTGAGGATGGGTCTCCTTCAGAGCTCGGTAGACTTGGTCTTTGCTGGCCCTGCTCCAGGACCGGCTGAGGCTGAACAGCTTCCGCATCTTGTCTTGGGTGGTGGCTTCAGCCCGCACTGCCTCATATTGCTCTTCACTCAGCACCAGACCATGTAGCTTGTCCAAGAGAGGATCCACTGATGTCACTCGGGCCACCAGCTGCTCCCTATGCTGGTCCACGAAGTGTAGTGAGGCAGGAGCGTCTAGGGGTGAAGATGAGGCTGACATTGAGCATAGAAAGGCTTCTCCTTGGTCTCTCTCACTGGCTGCCCACTTCTTGCTATTTTCATGCATCTCATCTGCACCCTTGGCTCCCTTCTTCTTCTGGAAGGTCATTTGAAAAATATTTGTACCTTCCTGAGGTCAGTTACTAGTCTGGCAATTTGCATGACCAGGGGGAGGGATTCATGGTAGGGTGTTCTGGTTGGGAGTTGTTGGAGTTATTGTCTTCATGGAAAGCAGCAAGGGACATGAGAGGAACTCTGTCCTGAGCATGCACTTCTTCTACCTGTACTGCTGAAGCAGTGTGATTCCCACCTTTCTCATTGCCATTGTCTCAACGGTCAGGTGATCTACCAGCAGAATGCTATTGGTTTCTCTGGTCTCATAATGTTGTTTCTTACCTTTGTTAACTGCAGGCATCATGAGCTGTGCAAGTCTGAGATCCCCTGGAAGATAGGAGAGATGAAGCATCTGTAAGGATGTCTGTCACCAACACTCAGTGCTCTCTGTGCAACTCTCAACCGTGCCTGAGATTTTGAGAATGAACTACAGAAATGCTGATATAATCTGGAAGGTGAACATTTCCCTACTCACACAGGGAATCTGGGCACCAGGCCTGTCATCATTGAGGGAAGACATGTGAATGAGCAGAAGGCTTTTTTTTTTCACATAACCACAGCCTCAGTTGTATCTTAGACTGAATTCCTCATGGAGAAATAATCAAGTCCTTTGCTGGCTTAAATCATTTGACATTTGATTCAGGGTAGAAAGTGACTTTCTTGTCCTTGTTTGACCTTGTACACTCACAGGCAACAAAATTCTAAATTCACTCTTCTCTAACAGTTTAGGGAAACCATCTGGAGGACTGCGTTTGTAGTATTGAAAGCCCTGATTCCATTTGCATGAAGGAAAGATGATGGTCCTTACACTCCATGTTAAGTGGGCCATTTTGGTGCAACCTGACTGAAGCATCTAATGAAGATAATGAATGACCACAAATTTAAAAACCAAAATTTAAGATTGAGGACACAAGAGGGCCATGATTATCACCTTCCAGTATCTGAATTCTTTCCCACATGGAAGGAACTAGATCTAAATGAGTCCTAACAAAAATAATTAACATGTAGAAGAGTTTGGCTTAATATAAAGAAAATTAGCAACATTGCCCCCATCAGCTAAGAATCACACTATTCGATGGGTATGAACAGTATTTAACCTTTCCAACCATCTTATGAGTTACTCATTCTGATCTTCAGGTGAGGAAGGTTAGACACAAAGGAGTTAAGTCATTTTCAAAATTCCTAAGGAATAAGTGCTTGAGTGAGATTCAAATGCTGGCCTGCTGCTGGGGCAGGTCAGTTCTCCACCTGTGGCTCACTCAGCTCAAGGCTGAACAAAACCTAATCTTTGACCATGTGTGGAGCCTGTGAGTAGCAGCTCAGAAGCAGGAACCATCACAGCTAACAAGGCCTGGGTGTCTCCAGAGCTACTAATGACAGAAGCTTAGTTTTGGCATTGTGTGTCTGGATTAAGACTGTATTGTTAACTGTACTTATGAAATTTCACTCTTTGTTTATCTCTTGTCAGCTTGAAAACATGGATGAGGCTACAATAGCCAAATAAAGAAATAAGTAAAACCCACAATTTTGGACAGAAAAACCTAACCATGGAAATGAAAATACTCTATAAGAAAAAATTAAAAATAAGCATCAAAGAAAAAAAATTGAGGAAGGCCTTAAAAGATGCAAAGACACCACCACTACAGCCATTGTTTGGAAGAAATCCACCATACTAAAAGCATTCTACATACTCAAAACAGTGCCAGTGAAGATGTCAGGGACATTCTTCACAAATAGAGTGAAAAAAAATGAGAAGTACAAGTGGAACCACAAGAGAATAGATGTCAAAAACAACTTTGTGGAAAAATTCATCACACCTTATTTCAAACTAATGTTATAGGCAGTGAAAAACATGTCCAGATCAGTAGAAGAGAATAGTCGACCTGGATAAAGTCTCCATAACCACTATTTGGCCTTTGCCAAAGAATCCAAAATACCCTTTGGAGAAAGGACAGCCTGCTCAACAAAAGATACTGAAAAGGCTACATGGCAATACATGGAAGAACGAAACATCTTTCCTTTAAAAATCCAACTCCACATGACCTAAGAGGTCAATGTGAGACCCAGTGCCCTGAAACTGGTAGAGTAAACATAGAGAGGGCATTGCAACACAGTAGCATAAGTACAGAGTGTGTGACTAAGACTCTGACAGCCCAAGAAATAAATCCAAGAACTGATAAACTGGATCTCAAGACACTAAAAAATTCTGTATGACAAAGGAGACTCAGTGGAGTGATGATAAGGTGGAGAGAGGAAGAAATGACTTTCCAGCTAACATAAGACAGGAGATTAGGAAATAGAATACCCAAGGAACTAAAAGACCTAAACAAGAAAATAACCCAGTTCTATGATTGACCACAGCAGTAACAGAATTCTCAAGGGAAGAAATGCACATGGCTAGTAAACACTTAGCGATTAGGGAAACACAAGTTTAAATTACTTATGATTCCTTCTCATCCCTTGAGAAGTCCAATATCAAGGATACAAATGTTAATGAATCAGAGAAACCCTGTCTCGAAAAACAACAACAAAAAAAGTTAATGAATGCCATGACGTGGTGGCACACGCCTTTAATCTCAGCATTTTCATGAGGCAGAGGTAGGTGGATCTCTGTGAGTTTGAATTCAGCCTGGTCTATAGAGAGAATTCCATGACAGCCAGGGCTACACACAGGAAACCCTGTCTCAAAAACCAAACAAAAAACCCAAATGATAAATATTGTTGGAGTGTATGTGGGGACAGATACACACTTATACACTAGCATATTAGAGTTTAAACTAGTGAAGCCACTGTGGAATTCAATCTAGAAGCTTCTTAAGAACTAGAACTAGAACTGCTATATAACCAAATCCTACCACCCCTGGTAATATATTCAAAGGAATATATATTCTACTGTGGAGACATTTGGATAACCATGCTCATTGATGTTCTGTTCATAATAGCTTGGAAATGCAGCAAGCCTAACTGTCCATCAATAGTTAATTGTGTGGCATTTTTACACAATGAAATTTTATTCAGGTGTGAAGAAAATGGCCTTATGGAAACCTAAGTGTACACATAGGAAAAATAACGAGGAAGATAAGGCAGGCTCAGAAAGCAAACTCTGTATCTTGCCTGGCAGGATGGTCCATTTGCTGCAATAGTGGCACAAGTGTGATGGGAGCAACCATAGCTCCCTGATTACACTTTGGCCCACTCCACAAGATAATATCCATTCCTAGCTTTTTAAACTGATAAAGCAAACAAACCCAGGTCTTTGGCGATCTTAGCCCCTTGAGAGAATATTGTTCAAAAAAATGGCCTAGGAATCCTTTAGATAATAACCTAAAGTGGCCACCTAATGGCACCTTTGATCCCAATATTCTGTAGGAGCTTTCTAACTATTGTCAGCACGCAGGCAGATGGAAGGAGTTTCCTTTTATCTACGCCTCTTACTATCTGAGCTCTAAGTTTAAGCCCTCTGTCCTTACAAGCTGTTCACCTGCTCACATGTTTCTGGCTATGCCATCTAAGCTGGAGGAACACCCCACTTATGCTCAGGACCTTGCTAATGAACCCCCACCTTTCTGACCTCAGCAGGCAACTACATCTACCTCTGCCTCTCCAAACCTCTTCCCCTCACCAACTACTCAGCCCCTCTGTATCCTTCCTCCTCTCTGGTGGCATGCTGCAGCAACCACCCAGCTCTAGCACCCATTTTTACTCCTCCCTTCACATGCTCATGTGCTGCTAAGGAACCGAACCCTGACCAAGCCAAGCCTCTGAACTTCTCCCTTTGCGAGAGGTGGCTGGTGTAGATGGACTGGTCAAGGTACATGTTCCTTTCTCCCTCTTGGAACTCTCCTACATAGAGCAAAAACTGGGTTCTTATATGTCTAATTCTACCTCTTTCATAAAGCAATTCCAGTATATCACCCAATCTTATATTCTCAACTTTCATGATATTTATATAATCCTATCTAATAACTTACTTCCTGAGGAGCACAGGTGAGTTTGGGAGCAGACCAGAGTACATGAAGACGAGGCTCTCCAGACTAATACAGCACACCCCCTGGGGGCAGAGGCGGTCCCTGAGCAGGTGGTATTTCAGCTAGAGACCAGCTTGCCTTCTTGCGGGTTTCTGTGAGGCTGCCCCCAAGCCAGTAAACTATGATAAACTCTTAGAGGTTATTCAGGATATGAAGGAAAATCCATCTGTATTTTTAAAATGCCTCACTAAAGCTCTGTTACAATATACTAACTTAGATCCAGAGACCACAGAGGGCAGACAGTTACTCATAACTTTTTTTTTTTTTCTCAGAGCTACCCTGACATTATGGCTAAACTTAGGCATTTGGAGAAAGGCTCCTTGACCCCACAAGGCAGAAGTCTTACCGTTGGCTTTTAAGGTGTACCATGCAAGGAATGATAAAATTCATAATCAAAACTGTCAAATGCTAGCCTTGGCCACCCGACTAGCTGAGGCAACAGACTGCCCGATCCATGCTGTCCATGCTGCTCAATTGCCCTCCCCCCCAGGGGGGGCTCAAGAACCACCAGGCCCATGTTTCAAATGTGGTAGAATCGGTCCCTGGGCCAGAGCATGCCCCAATCCTCATCTTGGTCCCATGAGACCTTGTCCAAGATGCCATAGGGAAGGGCATTGGACAGCTGATTGTCCTCATGCACATGGTGGCATGGAGACATCAAACCCAGAAAATTCCCAAACTGACCTTCTAGGTTTGGCCATGGATGATTGAGGCTGCCCTTTGACCCAACTATAAACATCATCTGTAGTAGGGAGCCAAATATCACAGTATCAGGATGGTCCATCTCTTCTCTCTTGGACACTGAGGCTACATACTCAGTACTGAGGGAGTTTGGGGGACTTGCCTCTCCTTCTAGTTTCCCTATTGTCTGGGTAGGGAGACAGCCTTATCTACCTCATCAGATCCTACCACTTAACTGTGTTTTTAGGGTTATTTATCTCACTCATTCATTTTTAGTCATGCCAACCTGCCTGGTACCTCTTATGGGAAGAGTTTCTTTCTTTTTCTTTTCTTTCTTTCTTTCTTTCTTTCTTTTTTTTTTTTTTTTGCTAAATAGGAGCTTCCATTTTGTTTGATCCTTCCATTTGCTTCACCCCAGATTCGCCAACAGTTCCCCTCTTCCTCCTCCTAGCCTCCCAACCTCCCAGCTCCAACGTGTCATTTCTTTGCCAGCCTCTCAGGTGGACCCCCAAGTCTGGTACACCCAAAAACCTTTCTATTGCTAAACACCATTTTCCCACTGTTATCCAATTACAGAATTCTCCTAGATACATTACCCAAGCTCAGTACCCTCTCTCACTCCAGATCCTTGGGGGACTTAAGCCTATCATCTCTGACCTTCTAAGGAAAAAACTACTTTGCCCCACCTCTTCTCCTTTTAACACCCCTATACTTGCTATTTAAAAACCTAATGGAACCTATTGCCTGATCCAAAACCTCTGGCTCATTAACTCTGCAGTGGTCCCCCTTCATCCTGTAGTGCCTAACCCTTACACACTTCTTTCCACTATCCCTCCAGGAACCTCCCACTTCTCAGTTCTAGATCTCAAGGATGCTTTTTTTCTCTATTCCCCTCAGCTCTCAATCTCAAAATATCTTTGCCTTCACCTGGACTGACCCTGACACTCATCTCTCCACACACCTCACCTGGACCGTTCTTCCCCAGGGATTCTGGGACAGCCCACACCTGTTTGGTTAGGCTTTAGCTTCTGATCTACTCTCACTATCTCTCCCCAAGTCTAAAATCATACAGTATGTAGGTGATATTTTATTTTGCAGTCCATCCTTGGAGATTAGCACAACTAATACCTCTGCTCTTTAAAATTTCTTATCCAAAAAGGGCTATAGAGTCTTACCTTCTAAGGCCCAACTGTTTACCTCTCAGGTCATTTACTTGGGGTTAACTATTACCCCAACCCAAAAAGCTATTACCCTAGAGAGGCAAAAAAAAAATCTAATTTAGTTCCTTGCAGTTCCTTTTACAAAAGAGGAGGTTTTATCATTTCTAGGAATAGCTGGCTTCATGGGTTTCTGGATCCCCTCTTTTTCTCTCCTCGCCCACCCCTTATATGAGGCAGCTCTCGGCTCTCTGCATGAGCCCCTTCTCCATCCCATTACTAAGTCCTTCCAGAGACTCCAACAAGCCCTTATCCAGGTTCCAGCTCTCCAGTTCCCAGATTTAACTCGTTCTTTCTCCTTCCATGTAACAGAAAAGGAGGGATATGCCCTTGGAGTCCTAGGTCATCAGCTGGGACCTTCTTTTGCACTGGTAGTGTACCTGTCAAAGAAGCTAGACCTCACCACTCAGGGCTGGGCACCCTGCATATGTACTTTAGCAGCTGCTAAACTTATTCATGAGTCAAAGAAACTAAACTTTGGGTCGCCTACTACTGTCTTCTCCCACCACAATGCGTTCCATATCTTAACTTATAAAGGTTTATTACCTTCTTCCTGAGTTCTTTTCTTCCAGGAGGCACTAGTGGAAGACGCCACACTCACTTTTCAATGCTGCCCACCCCTTAATATCTCAAATCTCCTACCTCAACCTAACATTAATTATTCCCTGTCTCACTCCTGCACAGAAGTCTTAGAGGATGTACTGCCCCACTCCTCACATATACAGGAGGGCAAACTGTCCCAGGCCACTTTTACCTGATACACTGATGGCAGCTCCCTTTTAGGTGAGGGGACCCGTAGAGCAGGCCATGCCATAGTGTCAGGTACTGGGGTAGTGGAGGCACAGGCACTCCCCTCCCATACTGCTAATCAGCAGGCTGAGTTAATAGCCCTTACCTGTGCCTTCCAGTTAGCAAAGGGACAATCTTTAAATGTTTACACAGACTTCAAATATGCCTTTCATATCTTCCTGTCCCACGCAGCCATCTGGAAAGAGCACAGACTTACGACAAAAGGAGGATCCATAACTAACTCAGGTTACATTATGGACTTGTTAAAAGCCTCCCATCTCCTCAAAGCTATAGGAATTACCCACTGTTGGTCTCATCAGACCGACAGTTCCATTATTTCCAAGGGAAATAACCAGGCTGACCAAGCAGTTAGAACAGCAGCATTCCAGAGCCCAAACCTACCTCAGTCACCTCAAGGGGTTCATACAGTACAGCCCACATTCTCGCAGACACCCCCGACACCTGGCAAATTTTGTCCTACCGGCATCAGCTCTTTCATCCTAATAGCAAGGCTCACCTCCAACCCACTCCTGAGGACTGAGAGATCTAAAAGCTATCACTGCCTCTTGTAAAATCTGTCAAAAACCAGATTCCAAGTCCAAATATCATAGTTTCCCTTTTCTCACTCATCTGGCAAGGGGCTCCCTTCCAGGAACTGACTGGCAGCTTGATTTTACTCATATGCTCACAGTCAGATGAGTTAAATATTTCCATGTCTAGGTGGATTGAAGGGTTCCCCACCACTAATAAGAGGGCCAGACAGTTTCTGATGTTCTTCTTTGAGAAATTATTCCCTGGCTTGGAATCCCAACCTCTCTTCATTCAGATAATGACCCAGAATTTACCTCCCAGATCTCTCAGACTTTATCTAAGGCTCCTAACACTCTCTGGCATTTTCATACCCTATACCATTCTCAGTCCTCAGGGGAGGTAGAACAAATTAACCGTTCCTTAAAAAAATGTTGTTAAGATGTCAAAGGGGCCCCTTCTCTCTCTTGCCCTTTGAACTCATGTATGGGCGGCCGGTTTTAACTCCCCCAAAGCCCCTTTTCCATCTCTCCTTTTGAACTCATGTATGGGCAGCTGGTTTTAACTCCTGGGAATTTATGAATGACATACACTAATGCTCATAATAGTGTGAGCACTGAGAACGGACACTATGTAAGAGTGTATGTACAATGGAAGAAGTAGGCCACTGGAGGCATGATCTGGAAGATTATATTTGCATGGACTTCATTTCTTCTCCTTCTCCTCCTCTCCTCTTCGTTCCCCTGTCTCCTTCATTTCCCCTTTCCCTTCTCTTCCCTGGCTCTCATTCCAACTCTTGCTCCCACTTCTCTGCTTCTGAGGTAAAGAGCCTCCTCTCGCACAAGCGCCCACTCCATGGAATCCTGTCTCACCTCTGGCTCAAAGAGATGGAGGCAGCTGACCATGGACTGAAACTTGGTTCTAAGACCATGAATCAAAGCAAAACTTTCCATTTTTAAGTTGTTTTTGTCACATATTTTGTCAAAATTGGGAATCGCTGACTAACACAGCGTCATAGATTAAACTGTGGTCAGACCCCCTGTTTTGGATCTAGCAAAAGCCACGTAACTAATCTGGTCATTTCGTGACACGGATAATTAATGACAACACACCTTCCCCACTCGTTGCCTTTCTGTAACCTTTGGGGTATCTGGACCTAAACGCATTTTACCTGGTTTCAGCAAGGCTTCCCATATCAGTTTCTTATTCTTCTTGTCTCTGATTTGCAGATTAATCCCTGAACCCATGCAGTCAACACAGATCTCAGAGAAAAGCTGGGATTCCCCGGGGCTCCGGTAGCACAGCTCCAGTTCCTGGAGAGAGAAAGAATTACTATGTGAGGATCAACTACTAATCCTTTGAAGGAGGGCTGTTCCCACCCCCAAACTTTCACCATCTTGCTCACCACATTAGACATTGGCTATCTTTCACACTGAGGTAACCCACAGCCTTTGCATACACATCTTTACTCAGAAGGTTGAGGACCCAACTGGGACCACAATCCTGCTGATTCTGTTCTCATCACTCTGACAAAAACCGGACAGAAAGAAACTTAGGGAAGAGCCGATGTTGTTTAGTTTTATGGTGGGAAATTCATATAAGCTGGAGGTCCATTCTTTGTGGCAGGAGACTGTTGCTGGGCTCACTATATCCCAGAGGATCAGCAAATCATACCCTGAGGTGGGAAGCAGGGCATGGCTATAAGCCCAAGGCCTGGCACTAATGACATGCTTCTGATAACCTGGTCTCACATATTTGTTTCCACACACTCTCAAGATGCTGTCACTCACTGGGGACTAAGTGTTTAAACCTGTACGTCTGCAGGAGTCTTCAGATCCAAACACTAACGTCTGAGGATGAGTGAGAGCTCATCCCAAAAGTCCAGTTCACACTGTCTAAGCCAGGACTTGCTCTCTATGCATTGTTTAGATGGATTCTCCTCTGGGACATATTGAATCTAAATTCTTAGCTCTTCAGGTTCAACCTACACTCCCGTGTGGCCCCTTAAACTGCTTTCCACCGAACTTTGATGTATTCTTGCTCATCCCAAATCTCTTTTGTTTTCTCACCAATTTCAATTACTGCAGAGTCTTTAACCTGCCCCACATGTTTACCAAGCCTGACATCTGACCCTGGAGAGTAGCAAACACTTGGATGCTCACCTTTGGGATGATTGTCAGCTTCCTGGAACCAGATACGATGTAGCGGGTACCAATATAAAGGGAGTCTACTGGGGGTGGCTTGTTTATTCGAATAAATTGGAATTTTATTTCTTCATCATCAATGGCCTAGGGAACATTGTAGACAGTGATTTATCTAGATTTCTGGGTCACAACATCTGGTCTGAATAAGGTGAGATGATCATTTAATACATTTTTGGGGGGCATTGGTTGGTGACACCCCCTGACAACTCTGTGTTCTGCAACACAGATTGTTGACTAATTGGCCCCTGTCATGTTCATTGTGGGAACAGGGTTGTTGTGCCAGAAAAAGGGAGCTGGCTACACATTGTGCATGGAGAATTCCCACCTTCTGATGGGGGAAAGAGGTCACAGAAGGATGTTCAGAGATTGGTAAATGAGCATCCGTGGCATTTGGGGAAGAATCTGGTGTAAGGGGGCCAAGAACAGAGCAGAATCACACACACACACACACACACACACACACACACACACACACACACTTTTCCCTTATAGAACTGCAATCCCACTCCCAGTTAAGAATCTCTCCAGGGGGCCCACTGTCTACATTTCATGCTTTCTGCCAGCCCACCCTGGCCTCACTTTTGTGGTCCTCAGTGTCACCTTCTGAATGGTGCAGTCATTGGGGACCAGGTAGAGGTGAAATGTCACATCCTTGGGATTGAGGTTATAGTAGATCAGTGTGATGGAAGTGATGGGGATGAAGTGTACCCAACCAGTTGTAATCAGTCTCATTACAACTCCCATTGGGGAGAAGCTTGGGTTTTCCAGTACTGCGTAATGCTGTTCCACTCTGGCTGGAGTTTCTAGGACCATCCCCTGTTCTTGAAAGTGGGCCACACGGAACGAGGAGATGTCCACCTGTCCCTCTGTGAAAGAACAGATTTAAAGATGAATATTTAGTTTTTCCATAGAGCCATTCTTGGCTAGAAAAAAAGCGCCCTGGGACTTAGAATGATTGTGGTGGTTTGAATGAAAATGGCCATCATAGTTGGTGCAATTGCTTGGGAAGGAGTAAGAGGTGTGCACTTTCTGCCATGCTTCCTGCCATGAGGGTCATGGACTCACCCTCGGAAACCATAAGGCCCGATAAAATCTTTCTTCTGCAAATTTCTTTGGTTATGATTTCTATTTCATTTGTATTTACTTTTTGATGCTTATGAGAAAAGCTATGACCAAACTTTAAGTTTTATTCATTCGCTTCCAGTGAGAACACAGCAGAACTCTCAGCTGTTTCTTCGGTATCCACTCACCGTGCCAGGGAGGTGAGTGTGAGCTGCTGCTGGTGGCGACTCCTGCAGACTGACCCCTTCAGAAGCAGTTTACCTTTGGCCCTGTCTACTTGATGGGGGAGCATTCACAGTGGATGGAAGTTCTTGATTTTCTCATTCACAGATGCTGTAAAGAACACAGCCTCAGACACCTCTGTCAGAAACTTGAGAATCAGCAAGTTCGTTGAGGTGCTTCAGGGTCTTGGGATTTGCAATGTTCTCTAAATTCTGAGTTGCAGAATAGAGTTTTGCTGTTATTAAAGAGTCGCAAGGGTATCTTTTTACACTGAAGACAAACTGGATAGATCCCTGGAATGATTAATGTCAAGTGTGAAGCTGATGAAATCTACATCATCTTGGATGTAGGCCTCAGGGCATGAGAGGAGATTATCTTGATTAGAACAATTGAGTACGGAAGACCTAGCCACTGTGTATAGCACCATTCTGTGGACTAGGACCCAGGGCTGTGTAAAATGGAGATGGTCACAAGAGCATGAGCATTCCCTGTTCTCTGCTTGCTCTGTCCACACAGGTTTACCAGGGGCCACAAGCTCTGTGTTCTCAGACTCCCATGCCACGATGAACGGTTCCTCTGGACTGGGAAGAAAATAAATCCTTTCTTTCTTAAGCTTCTTTGGTCAAGTATTTTGTGAGAGTTATAAGAAAAGTTAACCTGGGCAGAATATTGGTACCAGGACTCAGGCTTTTGCTGTAGTAAACACAATCATGTGGTTTCTAAGTCTCTGGAACTATTTTATGGCTGGAATGTGAAAGAGTTTTGTAGCCAGGACTAGGAACTCACTTCCATGCTGATGACAGAGCTTATGGGGACATTTGTGTGGAAGCAGGAAGACAAGAATGCTGAGAGAGACAGTGGAGGCCAGCCCACTGTTGCAGAGAGTAGCGAGGTTTCTATTGGGAATGGTAAAAGGATCCATGCATCCAACAGTTTAGTCAAGAATCTAGATTTATTGGGTTAATGCCCTGAATATGTGAAGATGAATTTAAGCATAAGGGACTAATTTTGCAGGAGAAGCTTCAAGACAGAAAACACTCAGAATTAATTATACAAAATCAGCTGTAACTGTTAGGGATGAGTATCACTGAAGGGAAAGCTGCCCTGTACGGTGACAATGGGAAAGGTGTCTGAGGACAAAATCTCACTCTTTGTAGGCTCGTGTTGTGAAGATCCAAATCCATTTAAGGGCAGAAAAGCTTTTAGTTATGGTGCTCCCTGTTCCACAAATGTGAGTGCCCGTGGAAGTGTTTCTCTATGGTCAGCACATCTTACAGCTATTGTCCAGAAGAGCAGGGCCAGGCCACATCTCAAGCTATCAAGAGAACTTGGCAGTGTCATCCCTGTAGATTTTTTTTTAGGGTTGAAAGATGCTATATTGAAGCTACATATATATATATATTATATATATACTTTTCCAACTGTGTGATTTTTTTGATCTGAGAGTGGGGGTAGGAAATAGGAAAGGTGGTGGCCCGCAGGGAAGAGCTTGAGTGGTGACTGGGGAAGTGTTGTTCTTAGAGAGACCAGGAGCTCTGTGTGGACCTGCTGGACTAGCCACCATCTGGGTATCAGTGCTCCTGTGTCAGGGTCCGAAGTGCAAGACCTCATGAGTTTATGAATGTAACTATTGTCTTTCTTTGTTTTGTGAGTTCTTTTCAACTGAGTCCTGCTGTTTACTTCATCTTCATTTGTTTTCTTCTTGGGGCTTGGCATTAAATGAGAATATTTTCATCTGAGGGATACTTTGCTTTCTATTCATGGTTCTTATATCAGCTGGAACTGTCTGCATTTCTACGTTAGTTTTTATGACTTCTTCAACTGTCAGGTCTTCCTTCTTGGACCTACTCTTCATCTTCATCACCACGAACAAACACCATCTCCATCTGCAGTGAACTGGATTCTCCTGGTCTCTATGGGGAGCAGATGGCTGTACTCCTTGAAGCGGGAGAGGAAGTTGGTCTCAGTAGCCACTGTACAACACCTTGTTCCTTGATGTTGTTGTTTTTTCTTTCATAGGCATAGGCTGGCTGTGTAGTCCAGGCTACTCTTGAATTCTAAATTCTCCTGCCTCAGCCCCAGGAGTTCTTGGTTACAGACATACAGTAATGGCTTTTTTTTTAAAATGAGATCTGTTACTGAGAACATTGCATATATTAAAACAATGTTCTTTTTGGTCACATGCTGTGGTTTTTTAGCTTGGTGTTCTTGTGGTACTCCTAACAGTGGGAGTGGGCTGTCTCTGAGTCCTTTTTTTCCTGTTCTTAGGACCATTTTATTCTTACCAGATTGCCTTATCTACCTTTGATTTGAAGGTTTGTGCTTAGTCTTACTGCAACTTTTATGCTGTCTTTGGTTGATATCACTTTGACCCTGGCTATTTTCTGAAGGGAAACAGAGGGGAGGGGAGGGCAAACTGTGTGGAACAGAGAGAGGGAGTCTGCAGTTTGAGATGTATGCTATGAGAGAAGAATGCATAAAAATAAAACAAAATCTTCAGAAGGATTCATTGGAAATCATGGAGGTTGGGACACTTTATGAGTTCCTCTCTTAGGAAACCCTTCTTCTGTTTTTCCTGTTCTCAAGTGGACTCTGGTGACATCATTTTCTCCCCGCCTGTAGCAGTGTGATGGCTCACAGTGTTGGTATAGACTCTGAATACCAAATGATTCTTGTTAGTTTTCTTACCTTTACATTGCAACAATCTCTTTAAATTTCTCAGTTATTCTCAGTTCTGGGCTGGGCCCCCGAGGGACTAGGTGTGTAAAGAACATTTAATAATCATCAACTAATTTGCTACTGAGGTCATCACTTTCCACTCAGGGACTCCATAAGGTAAAGAAGAAAGAAAGTCATAAGGCCAGGAGACATGTGCTTCAAAGAGGGGATGAGAAAACAACTCAGTGTCCACCTTCACAGTCTGTTCTGCCTCACTAAGGAAGCCATAGACCTTTCCTCGTCACCATCACCCTGTGCTCTGCCGTAGGACATGACAGGTCCTCCCATCACCTCCACCCGACTCCTTATGCTTCCCTTGGTTACCTTGGACATCCACAAAGTGAGGGAGATACACAGCAGCCACAGCTCCCCTCTCAGCCTTGATGTCAAACAGAGGCCCAGCTGCCATGTATCTGTACTGCAAGTAAATCTTGTCCAGGTGTTGGTTCCAGGCACAGAATCCAATCTCGATGGTCACTGCCCTTGTCACCACAAAGTGGAGTCCTGTGCTGGGACAGTGGTAGGAACCAGGCATAGGGAACTGAACTCTGGAAGAGGGAGAGGCAGACACCAGTGAACATCAATACTGCTCATCTGCTGGGGACACTGCAGACTTCATCCAGGTGGCTCTGAGTTCTGTTTCTTTTAGCTGTATGTGGATCCCTGACTAAGTCACTTAACCCCCAAATCCTCATCTGTAAGAGGGATGATGACATCATCTTATAGACATGTAAGTACTGATTGATCTAAGGCAAACCTACAAGTAACACATACCTGCAGCAGTTACCTATTCCTGTGATGATGAAATAGGTCTCTCTCTCTCTCTCTCTCTCTCTCTCTCTCTCTCTCTCTCTCTCTCTCTNGGGTCACAGAATAGAGTCCGGTAGGAGCCTGCTGGGCAGCACACTTTGGGCTCCTTTCTGCTGCTTTCATTGTGCTGTATCTGCTACTAGCGGGCATACAGCCTTGTCCAAATGCCCTACGTTATACTCTGCAATTCCTGCCTACTATTAACATATACCAGTGATTTCAGAAGGAACCAGTAGAGAAAGAGTCAGCGGCTCCATGAAGGGTTGTCTTGTCTACTGGGCACATTAACTACCCATTGAAGATGAGGCATGGGGAGAGAATTAAGATGCAATTCCTCATTTTCTCCATTTTGTCTCCTTCCATTCTTCCTTTCCACTATTCCCTTTTAATTTCATAAATAATTTTTGAAAATTTATTCTGTTTCAGCTTCTGCATTTAACACAGTGTTAAAAGTACAACCTCCTAGACTTTAAATTACCTTTTTACTCATCCTGCTGATATAACTGTGTGTGAGAGAGAGAGAGAGAGAGAGAGAGAGAGAGAGAGAGAGAGAGAGAGAGCGAGAGAGAGAGAGAGAGTATGTGTGTTAAGTTCTGGGGATCCAGCTAGGACCTTGCACACTCGACAAAGGTTCTACCACTGAGGTTCATCTTCAGTTTTTAGACTTTATGTTCCTGAAGTTAAGAGACAAGAGAACCCGAATATAACGAGGGAGCTGATACTCATTAAAACATGGATAAAATAATCTGCAGAAAAACCACAATTAAGATAATAAGCAAAGCTGAGCACAGATGTTTAGATGGAATGAAGAACTCACATCAGCTCTGTTTATGTGGTAATGGTGTGCTGATCATGGAAGACGAGGTCCTGTCTTACGTACAGGGGAGGCATAGGGAAATGTTTGTGGGTGAAGATCAAGGAAGACGAGGTTCTGTCTTAACTGTGGGAGGTTCTAGTGAAATGTTTATGTTTAAATCACCTGATTCCTGGACTCACACTACTGTGACAGTGATGACAAAGGGGGATGTGAGTAGCTGAAATGTATTTGGAAAAATGGCTGCTGGAGCTGAGTAACTGGACAGGGAATTCTTGTGCTCTCCAGTTTTGTGCATATCTGAAAATTTTATGAAAAAGATCCTTAATTTTTTTTATAACAACTCAAACTTCTTATTCCAGTCCTAGCCTTGCTTCCTGGGTTGGTGAGGTGAGGAGGAGACACAGTAGAGACTAGGTGGATGCTATCTGTGGGGGATCCCTTGTGGAAAGTGTGCTGGGGAAAGCCAACCTTTGCCAGGCAGAACTCACTCACCGATACAAGTTCCTCTCTCTGTCAATCACCTCGGTAGTCACAGGCCCTGGAGGACCCCAGAAGTCATCATCAGTCCCCTGTGGCTTCATGTGTTTGTGTCCTGGAGAGGCAGGGAAAGATGAATGGAAGGGCTCCAGTGTGCAAGTATTCCTTCTCTAGAAGAGGCCAGGCAATGCTCACTCTGTGTCTCCTCAGCTCTCTTTTCCTGGTGGACCAGCCCTGAGTTTACCTGCATTCTATCTATCTATCTATCTATCTATCTATCTATCTATCTATCTATCTACATACATATGTATACTCACAAGCATACAGTATTGCAGTGTTGTTTTCTTACTGCTACTTGCATTTTGAGCAACCATAGCACCCCAATATCTGCTCCCAATCCAGTTGTTGTGTTTCATTTCTTATTGATCCAGAAGTGTTGGTTGTGGGTGGCCACAAGGAGATTTGGAATGGGCCGATAGAGGGGTAGAAATGATATAAATACAGTACTCTTACTCATGTTTAAAATTCTAAAAAGATAACAAAGTAATTTTTAAAAAGAAAAACATGATGACTTCCTCCTGCAGGTGCCCCTTTATCCAACAGTCATGACGCTCTGGGTCTGAACTCTTCACATACCTGACTGTAGTCTCTGCTGCTTGATTGAGATCGGGGTCTCACCCATTTCTTCTCCATCTGGGTCCTTAGTGGATACACGTGACTTCCTACACATAGATATATTCTTTCCCTCAGATGTCAGGAGAAACGTGATATTCCCACATAAAATCTAAGTCTTTGAATTGTGACTCAGTCATATGCTTTTTCTCTGGTTCAGAACTCTATGAAGACCCTATTCTCCTAGGCATCCATGACCCAGACCTGGGATCATCTCAACCCCTTCTTTGCTTTAATTTGAATATGTTCCCCAGTGTTTACTCATTAGAAAGTTAACCCCTAATGTCACAGTGTGACAGGATGAAGGATAAGACACAATGAGGTCACGAGTGCTCTGCTGTCATGAAGGGGTTAATGACATCATCACAGGAGTAGATTCCTGTGCCCTTACAGGACTTGTCACAAAAGTCACCTTGGCCTTTCACTCTCATCCCTCCCAGTTTCACAGTCAGATGGAACAGGAAGAAGGATTTTTTAGATATAGAGTTCATGCTCTTGCCCTTACCTGTATCCAGAACTGCAAAAAATAATCTCAATTCTTTATGATAAATGCCCAGTGTCAGACACTGTGTTAAAGCTTCACAAAACAAATAATCATTCACCCTGAATGCCAATCACCTAGACATGACCTTCTTTTTTTTATGTAAAAGCAAAGAGCCTTTATTTTAAGCAAGTTTGCAAACTTGATCTCTCCTCATGTCCAGCATATTGGAATAAACAGAGATCTCCAACCTTAGTCAGAATTGAGTTTTTATAGTAGTAAAGGTGGGGGTGAGAGGTTTCTGAGGTTTAGGACTACTGATTGGCTGATTTTTGTCTAGGGGTGTCCAAGTGTGTGTGTTGAGGCAGGTGGTCCTATCTACAGTGGTTGGAATGTTAGGCATTTCCTTTGGATGGTCTGTTTTTTGCGTGGTGCTCGGGTAATCTCAGTTTGTGGTTCTTCTTGCAGCCAGGTATTGCATCAGGGTAAACTACTGAGACTCAGGCCTCCATTTAAATTTATCGATGCCCCAAGTCCTACTCTGGATCATGGCTGGCTCCCACAAATCCAGCGCCAAAACAACAACAACAACAACAACAACAACAACAACAACAACAACAACCACCACCACAACATTTTGGTCCTAGTATCAGAGCCAGGAAAAGAAATACACCTTAGTCCTAAAAACAGAGCCAAAAGACTAAAAAAGGAGAGTGAAAACGATACAGTTTGGTCCTGAAATGAGAGCCAACTCTGCCCCTGACCACCTAAACCAACCAATCCCTGAGAAATAAAACTAACCAAATCCTAAGCAGAAAAGCTTCTTCCTGAAAAAACTCTACTTCTAAGAATTCCTATATAAGCCCCTCTGCCTTTCCAGTTGTAGGCTGTCCTTTCCCACCCTGGCAGAGGCAGCTACTCTCCTGGATTCTTCTTTCCCAAATAAATTTCTTCCTTAAAAGAGTTTTGGGTAAAGATCTTTTACCAGAGCAGAGCAGATTGTTTGGTGAGTTCCCTTAAGGGGACTGAGCAGAAAAAAAAAAAATAACAGAAGAAACTGGTACATCTGCTGGGGAAATCCCTTGAGCAAAAAAAAGTAACTTTTTACCAGAGTCAGAGGAGATTGCTACATTTCTGCAGGGGTTTCCAGTGAAGCAGAAGTAACATCTTGTGCTGGAGTTTAACTGAGCATATAAGAAAAGGATAGCTCTGCTAGAATGTTCCTTTAGGGGAACAGAGCAGAACTCAGCTCTAATGGCTCTCTCAGAGAGGGCAGTATTGCTACCTCCTGCTGGGAGACCATTCCCCCACCTGGCCCCAGCTTTAGATATCACCTGACTTCCTGACTAGTTAGAATACCTTTTCTTCCAAAGCTGTAACACCGGAACAGTAAGGTGTGCAAGTCATACAGGGCACACAGATTATGTATAAAATCAGTTGTTCTGTTAAGCTTCCTTGACTGCTAAGGGAGCATACAGAGAAACAAAAATAGCCTGAATACTTACTTCCCCTGCTGTGGGAGTACATCAGCTGCTCAGGAACTAGAAGGCACGTAGTGCCCCTGGAGCCTGGATGCTAACCAGAAAACCCTGTGACCTAATGCCTTTTAAGGCAGCTAGACTAAGCCAATCCATTGTTCCTATACCCAAGGTCTCTGAGTTATCTTAGATATGACCTTCTGAATCTCTCTCTTTTCTGTTCTCTATTCTCTCAGTCCACGTACTCTATTTTTGTCTCAGGATGGAGTGAGCATTGTCCTGAACCTCTGGCAGGTGTCCCTGCTTCAGGTCTTGTCCCTTCTAGCTCATTTTCTACATAGTAGCTGGCCATATAAAATGAGTGGAGATGCCTCTTCATGACTGAACCACTGGGCTGCCTCTCATTTTCTCCGTAGAGAGA